CTTAGTTAGGTATCTGAAGTATCCAGGGCCAGTATCCAAAGCACATAGTGCTTCCTGTTTTTCTCCATCCGGAATTCCCTTCAGGGCACACCACCTGGAAGCAGCTGCACTGACTAGAGCTGATGCTGTGGACAGGAAACCAGAACAAGCTGGGCTGACCGAGGAGCAGGAAGGAGACAGGTTTGATCGTCCCAGGCTCCCCATGGAATGATGAGACATGAGCCTGGAAAGGCGGGCCACAGTGGGGAGAGCAGGGGCTTCGAGGTTGGCTTGAGGTCAGAACATAGCTTAGTGGCCACAGGGAAGCCCTGAGGAAAGCCGTGCAGGAGTGAAGGGCTCATGCTTATGACGGAAACACGTGTGGCTCTCAGTAGGCATTTCATCAACATCCGGATGGAACAAGGGCTGCCCGTTCCCACACTGCCTTTGCCTCGAGTTTGTCAAATGGCTCAACTGCTTCTTCAGGTGGGACCCAGTCCTCGTGTCATCTCCCAGTTCTCAGGGCGGTTTATATTCCAGCACCACAGGGAATACATCTGGGTGTCTGCTTAGTTGCTCTGCGGCCTTTGGGATCTTCCGAGATCAGGGATCAAACTCGTGTCTGCTGCACTGACAGGCGGGTTCTACCACTGAGCCACCAGGGAATCCCAGAAAATATTTTCATTGAGAAAAGCCATACACACACAAAAAGCACATTTTGAATGGCCCCATTTACAGGAAATGTACAGAACAGAAAGTAGATAAACGTTTTCCAGGGGCTGCGGGATAAATGAACAGGGGGTGACGGCTAAGGGGTTCAGGGCATAGACCCACCCGCCCGAGGGCACACCTGCATCCACAGGTGGTGTCACACAAGCAGGGTCGCACCTGGATACACACCTGCGAGCACAGCACAGCTGCTTCCCCGCCCCCTGGCACGCCCAATGCCCCCTTCTCTCTCCCCAGTCCCACAGCCTTGCCACCGAACCTCCTTGGGCGCCACCGAGTGCACACACAGGCCTCCCGTTTCTCACACTGGCACCGTCACCCCGCTGGGACCACAGACTCAGGAGGGTTGTAGGGCGCCTCCACTGCCTGGAGTGGACTCACCAAGGGCACTTCCGGCCAGCGCCCAGGGGTCCAGGCACTCCGTCTCCCAACGGGCCTCACGCGTATGCTGGGCGAATGGCCTTCTGGGAATGAAGTCCAAGGGGATCGCCCAGGAAAGAGCATGGGAACTTGTCAGTCGCTCTGCAGGAAGTTGGAGGACCTGACATACATAGCTTTTTCTGTCCTTTTATTTATTTTTGTCCTCTGAGGCATTTTATTTGTATGTATTACATCCCTAGAAAAGGAATTCAAGGATTTTCCCCTCCTGTGTGTTTTCGTCTTGCTTCTTCATGGTCTATGATGCCAGCTGAGGTTGTCAGTACAATGAAACCAATGCACATCAAGCCTGGGGCTGATCACTCCACACTTATTTATTCAGCCTGCTGGTGAAGTTCACAACAATTTTGCCAGCCCTGTGATGATCAATGATTTCAAATTCGCCAATGTAATCATGCTTCATTATCACAATTAGAAACCTGATGATGACTTTGGAGCACAGTCTAATTAGCACTGGGCATTTACCTCTTTTCCGCATTGTTGATACTCTTGAGAGTATCAGCCAGGACATTCATGTGCACCATTCTGGCAGCACAGAAAGATGGCAGAAAGGATGGGAAGGGCAAGCGTGTGGCATTGTGTCCTTTTAGCTATGCTGCCTGTATACGTTTTTCCTCTTCCTCTTGGCACATATACAAGTATTAATGAAAGGAATGTTCATGTATTGAGGTATGGGGAAGTCATTCTGGCTTTTAATTATTTATCTTGATTTTTATGCTAACTAAAACAGCCCATTTACAGCCTCTTATACACACACTATCTGCTTTAATCACTAAAGAAAAGAAAAGGTGCACTGACCAGAACTAATGTCCATGTTAAAAATAAAGATTAGGAGAAGGAAATGGCAACCCACTCCAGTATTCTTGCCTGGAAAAGTCTACCCAACAGAGGAGCCTGGTGGGCTGTAGTCCATGGGGTTACATGACTGAGCAAGTGTGCATAAGGGTGGAGCGAGATGGGTTGGTATCAATAAACTGGTAGAACTAAAAAAAAAAAGATTAAATGCCTTCCTTCTTGGGACACCAATGCTGATGCTCCTTCAACAATAAGGCTCCCTTCCCAGGTGCCAAGGCCATACTGACTCACTGTTGATCTAGTGGTTGTTTGTTTTGAAACCTTGAAGGAATGTATCCTTGAGTTGTGTGATGTTTTTTGTTCTGACAAGACAGAAACCCAGAATGAAACCATGCTTCAATGGAACAGTTCCTCAGAGTTATGAGAGATGCTCTCTCCCAGGCTATAGTCCTCAGTTTGGCTCAAATAAAATTTTTTTTCTATTCCTACTGTAGATTGGTTTATTGATTGGAAATGTGTGTGCTACAACTAGCTGGCAGGAAACTTCATGGGGCCTAGGATATCTTACACTCAATTGGTCCTGTTAGCTCAACACACACATGTACAAGCTCAGTCATGTTTGACTCCTTGTGACCTCTTGGGCTGTAGCCTGCCAGGCTCCTCTGTCCATGGGATTATCCTGGCAAGAATACTGCAGTGGGTTGCCATGCCCTCCTCCAGGGGATCTTCCTAATCCAGGGATCAAACCCACATCTCTTCTATATGACACAGGTGGATTCTTTACCATTGTGTCATATATAAGAGATGTGGCCAAGACACACAGTCATGTGGACATTTAAGAAGGGGGAGACAGTGAACAATGAAACAAACTCAAACTTAGTTTAATTTGAAAGAATTATTTTTTTTTACATGTAATATTTTTACATGTTTCAAAATTCCAAAAATATCAAAAGATATAGAGTGAAAATTATTCCTCATGTTCCCCCTCCCTCCAAAAGCAAGTAGTATATCTGGTAACCTTGTACCCTTCAGATTCAGTGTGTTTGTGTATGTGTAAGCAAGGGCTTCCTCTTTACACAAATGGAAACATATCATACAAACTGTTTTATACCTCTTCATAGACAATGTATCTTGGCGCTCTTTTCCACATAAAGAGTTCATAAAGACAGTCCCCATTTCAAGGGCTGTGTAAAAGCCAGCCAGTCCATCAGAAACCACTTAGCCAGTCCATGTGGTGGACACCAAGGTTGATTCTAAATTTTCACTTTCTGAAATCAATACCATAGTAAAAACTACACAAGAACAGTTTGTGCGGGGACAAATATATCTGTAGGATTCATTTCCAGCAAATGGCTTGCTGGGACAAAGAGTTTGCTGTAATTTGGATAGCAACCAACAAAGTGACGTTCACAGAGGCTGTATCAATTCATACTCCCTCAGAAATGTGTATGAATCCCTTTGCCCCCTTTTAGATAAAAGCAAAAGCTTAGGTAAGATGGTGGGTGGAGGTCACACTGCTATAACCCTCCTGAATGTTAATTTAAAAATCCATATTCACAGGAAAATGTTCAAAATATAGTAAGAAGCACATTACAAGAGAGCTTTCTAAACAAAAGATAACTATACATATTTTTGCTGTGTATAGGATTTAATGTTCACTCTATGTATACACACATGTATATTTCAAGAAAAAGTTACTAAGTAAATTAACAAAATCTTAAGGTAATGAGCATCCCTGGATGGTGGAAGTATGAGGAATTAAATTCTAAACAAGGCTTCATACTTTTGTGTATTTTACTTTTGTGCATTTTCCAGGTTTTGCTACAAAGATTTTGCATTACTCTGATAAACTGATAAAACCATATACTTTCTCTAGTTTACAGCAATTTCCCCTGAGGAGTTTCTTATCTGACTTGGTTTCAAAGTATCTGTAAGGAAATTAGTAGGAATATGATGCCTAGAAAAGGTGACCTGAAATGAGAAATGGAAAATTCCAAGAGCTGCACTGCCGGAGAGGGCAGCAAACGCTGATGGTGACAGGCTTGTTCCCAACTTAACCGACGAGGTGACTGGCGCCTCAGTGCACCCAGTGCCCACTCTAAGAACTGTGGAAACACAACCCTTCTGCAGCTGCCACTGTGCGGGCCACGGCGGAGGGGACGGGGCAGTCGCAGGCCTGGCTTCTGAGCTGTCCAGTTACCACGGGGTCTCCCCGAGCCAGAAGATGCTAGGGTGGGAGCATTCCGAGTCTGCACCCCCACACCAACGATGGGGCTGTCACAAGTGGAGGGCACTAGTGGCCAGGCGTCTCCTGGTCATCCTGCGTCAGTGGTGGCAGTGGGAAGGAAATGGAACGAAGATAGCCAAGCTGTTCACACGGTAAAATCAACAGGATGTCTGTTAGTATCTTCCGGTTTGAGGGATGGGATGGCAGGTGGCAACAATCCTCAAGAAAGGGAGCAGAGCAGGAGGCACAGGTTTGGGATGGAGAGTGGCACTTCTCTCTGGGTAGGCGGCTTCCGGAGTTTGCCGGGCATCCAGGGGGAGCTTCTGGCAGCATGCAGCTGCTGTTCCAGCCCGAAGCTCGGAGACCAGAACCTGGGAGTGAGCAGCACACAGCCATGGTGTGGACCGGGACATCTCAGGAGTGTATGGAGCCCAAGATGCGCCTCTGGGACAGTGGCCCAAGGGCCCCAGGAATTGAGGAGGGTAGGGCAAGAGGCCCCTTGAGAGGCAGAAGGGATCTGGGAGAGCACAGTGCTCCAGCATGCTGGGGGACCGAGGACTGTGGGGGCCTGGTTGGCAAGCAGGACAACCCAGGCGATGAAGAGCCAGTGGTGCCTGACCCGAAGGGGGCGCGCTGCAGATTCCTCCAGAAAGAGACTGGGGAGAAAGGCGGCAGGCGCTGGCAGCTGCCCACCATTAACCTCTTCAGAGGCTTTTTCTCGGGTACAGTCTCAGCCAGGGAGGTTAGAGAAGCTAAGTGATTTCAGTCTTGGCCAGAGAGACATGGATGTATTAGATGGAAGCTTCTGGGAGTCTTTTCTTTGAAACCTCACCGGCGATGAGTACTGGCCTGCCTTTCCCCCTCCTCAAGTCCTGATGACGGTGGGTGCATCGGCTGAGGCTGCAGTGGTCTCCCTGCGACCAGGAGGGACAGGCTGGGAGAGAAGACACTGCCTCTGATGGCGCAGAGCCACTGAAGACACAGCCTTCAAGCAAAGCCTGATCTGTTTAAGCCACTGTCAATAGGGTGCTAACTTCAAATTCTGCCTCCAACTCCTGGCTGTGCAACCTTGGGAAGGTTATGTTTGTCCCGGGCCAGATTTTCCTTATACATAAAACAGCGCCAACCTCACAGAGGTGTGAGTCACTGCCTGTCTGAAAACACACCTCTTCTGAGCCATGTAAATAGAAGATTATTTGCTAAGAATGAAATGCAAGATGGTGCAAGCCAAGGCATGACAACAGAGGCGCTGTGATAATGAGAGCTGATGGAGAAGTCCACGAGACAAGCCTAGAGAGTGACAGGGTGGCAGAGACAAACCCAAGGCTTCAAGGCATCCTGTGGAAGCTCTGGAGATGAGCTGCAAGCCTGGCTCTGCTACCGTGGAAACCCTACTGGCTGTGACACCCAACCATCCAAACAGAATTGGACAAAGGAAAGTTCTGACAGGTCCCGACATTCACCCATCACATCTCAGGAGTGAGTTCTGATGGTGAGTCACTCTGACACTGTGCTTAGAATAGCCGCTGTGCCCTTCCAGAATACTTCTTCCATTCAACTCGATGCTCTGACAATCCAATATTCCTTCTGGGGGATATTTTTCTGGAATGATTTCTACAAGCTGACCTGTGCCATGGCCAATTTTTGTTCCTTCCAATTGTTGATGTTTATGTTTTGTATTTAACTTTGCTAGCATGCAACCTAGCATGCAACCTAGGATGCAACAGTGGGAACAGCAAACAAACAAAAGAGGCAATTGTGCTGTGTAACTGGAGCACACAACACAGCATCCCAGAGGGATGGGCATTTCACTCTTTCATTCTAGGTTAGAAAGCAGGCAGATTAAATCCTTAGTTTTTGCATCCTTTCTGCTGAGATACCAAGGATCACACCTTTGAACACAATGTTCTTCTTTACAACAAGAACAATATAGTCAAAGATCAGAAGGCTTTGATTTCCTCAGGAGTAAAGTTGGAAGAAAGCAAGATGATGAGCCAGGCAACGTTTCCAATTGTGGATATGAAAATGGTCATATTACAGTGTACTGCATCATATATAAATAAGCCATTTTCTCAGATATCTTGCTTTCCCGGACATTGACTGCTGAAAGAAAGGTCTTCTGAGGGTCAGCAGAGACCCCAGCAAGATGCTAAGCTGTGCTTGAGATGGGGCAGATAAACTCTGAGAACAAAACAGAGTCACACCATTCATAAAGGGCCCTCAGCATAGTCCAGTGGGTCTGATGGGCAGGCTTGGGATAGGGATAAAATTTAGGTTATCCTGTTGTTTGTTTCCCCCAACATATAAAAGACTAAAAAAGAAAAAGAGGGGATACCTATAGATTAAAAGAGACCTAAGTCAAGCAAATGCACTGTGTGATTTTTCTTTAGATCATGATTAGAACAAACCAAACAGAAAACAAAACTTGTAAGGAAACCAGGAATATCCACTAGATATTTGATGACACAGTAATTACTGTTATTTCTGCTTAGATGGTAATATAGTTTTACTCAAGATTTAATGAAATTAATAATTTTTCCTGCTCCATCACAGACATTCTTAAGTGAAACCATCCTCCCTGCCCCCGCCCCCCGGCTTTACTGCAACGCCATGGAAGGAAAAATATGAACAGTGACCTCGGGGCCACTTCCTTGATTCTCACTGAGACTCTGGCAGTGTTACCCAGTGTTGGTTTCGCACTATCAGTGCAAACATCAGTGCAAATATCAACTTAGTGAAAAAGGCAAATGATAGCTCAGAATGACTATGAAAATGGTTTTTGTCCTCATGGGCCAACATGATTTCAAATATATATATGCTTTTTAGAGATATTAAAAAAATAGATAAAATAACAAGATTTCTGGTGCTGATGTAAAAATAACCCTGTGGCAACACAAAATGTATCAACACATGGAATGTCCAAAATAAAATGCTAAAATTACTCAGAAAAATAAAGTGGATTCTCTTCCTTCACGCCAACTACGAATGTGGCAAAACAGGGGAAAAGAATTACTAAAAGAAAATGTGTACATGCTCAAGATAGTATTTGTTAAAATCAAATGTACAGGACTGTTAACACAGCCCTGATTAATCAATTTCCAGAGTCAGGAAAGCCGGCTCTTATGCTGGGAGTGGGTTCTCCACCTCAAAGCCAGGTGGCTCTTTGGTGATGAGGTTTTGCAGGATGCTCAGCAGCATCCTCGGCCTCCCCTACAGGATGCCACCACTCCCCTCTGCCAGTCATGACAACCAAAATGCATCCAGACCTCACCAAGTATCTCCTGGGGAACAAAGTCACTCTGAGTGAGACCCTCCACCACAGGGAACACTGCCAATCTAAGGCCATGGTTTCTAACAGGAGCCGTGACACCCCCAGGGAAAGCTGTGGAATTTCACAGGGGAATCCTTTGTCACTTGATTTGGGCATGAGTGTGGCTGCCATGCCTGCTCTAATGACTCTAAAGTGCAGAAATGGATCCCAGCAGGCATGGATGTATGTCTGAAACTCGTTTCTATAAGAATACGAACTGAGACTTGGGTTAACTCCACATATAAATTAATTCCTACATGTTTAGAATTTAAACAAAACCTTCCAGAAACGCACCTGCATTTGTTTTGTTCAAACCTTTTCCAAGCCTTAGTCACCACTTTGGGAAATCACATCCACACAGGCCTCTCCTCACGTTTCTGTGGGTACCACCACACCCCATGCACCAGATGGCAAGCAACAGGTAACGCCCTAAGTCTCCAGGCACGATGGTCGCCACCACAGGGAGAGCGAGCAGCAACTCAGCAGACGTTACCTACTGACAGTTTCTTTTGCTTTAATTACCCTTTACAAAACGGGGACACGAATAGGTTTTTCAACATCACACACGTGTGTAGGTTCCGTTACCTCTGAATTCATTTCCGAGTACTGGGCTTGAGACACTGGAGAGCCAGTGACCTCAGGTGTTTGCAAGCACCACTGCCTTAGGAAATCTGAGAGTGTTTCTACCCTCAGCCCCCTTCCAGAAATACACCTTGTGGACTTACCCCATTTCTGTACCTCTGGTTCAACAGTCATCCGCTGCGTTCCTTCCCTACGTGGACTCCCTGATGTCAAACAGCATGGAAGTGCCCATGGTGGGCTCTTCCACCCCAATAACGCGCACGGGGTTCTTTTCCTGCATGATCTCATGGAGGTCAAACAGCGCCAGCGCCCTGCCGGTGGGCGGCCCCGCCTTCGTCCCGCCCCCGGGGCTCTCCTCCGGGGGCCCGAGCGGGCGCCGCCCGAGGTGCGGGCCGCGGCTGCGAGCCTGCGGGCGCCGGCAGCCCCGGCCCCGACCCCGGGGCTGCTCCCGGGTGTGCGTGATCTGGTGGCGGATGAGGTGCGAGCTCTGCGTGAAACCCTTGCCGCACTGGCTGCACCGGAAGGGCCTGTCGCTGCGCGGCGGGCCCTCGCCCGGGCTCAGGGGCTCGGGCCAGGCGGGCGCAGGCGCGAAAAGCAGCCGCTGGCGGCAGTCGTAGGGCCCGTCGCCCGCGTGCTTGCGCTGGTGCTGCGCCAGCGACGAGCTGTGCCGGAAGCCCTTGCCGCAGCGGCTGCACTCGTAGGGCCGCTCGGCCGTGTGCGTCCGCAGGTGCAGAAACAGGCAGGTGGTCCGCGAGAAGGCCTTGCCGCACACGCTGCAGGCGAACGGCTTCTCGCCCGTGTGCGTGCGCCGGTGGCGGCCTAGAGACGAGTTCTGGTTGAAGGCGCGGCCGCAGTCCTGGCAGGCGTAGGGCTTCTCGCCCGTGTGGATGCGCCGGTGCACCGTGAGGTGCGTGCTGTGGCAGAAGGACTTGCCGCACTCGGCGCACTTGTAGGGCTTGTGGCCCGTGTGGATGCGCTCGTGCTGCACCAGCGACGAGTTCTGGCTGAAGGCCTTGCCGCACTCCTTGCAGGCATAGGGCCGCTCGCCCGTGTGGATGCGCCGGTGCACCGTGAGGTGCGCGTTGTGGTTGAAAGACTTCCCGCAGTCTGCGCACTTGTAGGGCTTGTCGGGCGCCGGGCCGCGCACCGGCTCCGCGTCCGGAACAGGACTCGCCGCAGCGGAAGCCTCGCCGCGGTCGTGCCGGTCGCGCGGCTGTGGTCCCGGGGAGCCCGTCTCCTCACGGGCCACGCCAGCACTCAGCTCCGAGCTCGGAACCCGAGATTCCAGCACACACACACGCTCCACCCTAGAGACCTCCGGGAGCAGACCGAGGCTCTCCCCAAGCCTCAGACTTCCGTCCTGAACCGGGGCTTCCTTGAGTTGCCGCCAATGACCCTGGTCCTGCTCGGGCCCCTTGACCTGGCCCACCGGTTCCCAGTCTTCCCCCAGCGTGGCAGGACATGGCGCCTCCCCCAGGAAGCCTTCCCACCCCTTCTCCTCAGGAAGGCCCTGCTCCCGGGCTGGTGGTCGACCCTCTGGTCCAGTTTCCTGGCCTGAAAGAAAACCAGAGCTGTGAGGGGCTGATGGTCACACCCTGGGTCTGTGCCCTGCCTCCCAGTTCTGCTCACGTTGACCCCAGTGCTCTGTCTGCAAACAAAGCTTCCCTCACTCATTCTTTCAGGAAAAATTTTTCGATCACCCACCATGGGCCAGATGCTGGCCTATATCAGGAGCTGACCAAAGATAATCCCCAAGCTAACCGCGCTAACGGGCAGGACTCTGAAGCTGTCAGGTGTCTCTGTCAGTTGTGGAGGTTCTGCTGGCAAGGAATTTTGCGGGTGACACACAGTCCTATCGTCAGCTGACTTTAAAAACCTCAGCACAGGGAGATGATGCTGGGTTAGCTGGGTGGGTCAGGAGCAATCCCCTCAAGCTTTAGAACAGGAGGAGGTAGAAGGAAGAGGCTGGCTGGGCAGGGGGCCTGAGCCAGGGAAGCTGAGCCAGCTGTCAGCTGACAGCCTGCAAGGACACAGGGACTTGTGTCCGATGACCACGTGGAACTGGATTCTGCCAACAACCTGCCTGCATCCAGAGGCACAGCCCTCCTGAGCCTCCCAGTAAGTCTGCCCCCTCCACTCCTGGCCTGATACCTTGCCTCTGGCCTTGTGGGGGCTGCAGCAATAAACCATTTGGGTCTGACAGAACTGGGAGATAATACTTTGCCTTAAACCTCTGTGTCTGTGGTAATTTGCTACAACAATGACAGAAAACAAATAGGGAGACTGAACATTGTCCACAAAGCCTAAAATACTTATTGTCTGGCCTGAGGTGCTGGGGATAAAACAGTGACTCCGAAGGACAGAAAGCCGTGCTGGGAAGGCAGACACAACAAAGCAGAGAAGGAGCAGACTCGGGGGGACGAGGAGCTGTTTCTAACCCGGGTGTGACAGGTCAGATCCCAAGAGGGGGTGCCCGCTCACCTGTGGGACCCCTTGCGAGGAGCAGCGCCTCGGATCCAGAGGCCGATCGCCCCTCAAGCAGGCAAGGCGCTCCCTCCTCCCAGCACACTGACGTGCCACTCTACCCACTGACCTCACGCTCAGCCCCTGCTCACACCTATTCCCGGGAAGGCAGGGCGGCTTCCGGAGGCTGCAGGGGTGGGTTTCCCGGCGGCTCCAGCCTCCAGAGGCACCCGCGGGCCTCGGCCCTTCCCCTCACCTCGAGCCAGCAGCGGAGTGTCGGACAATCCCCCTCTGACATCTCCCGTCCTCATCCTGCTCCCCTCACAAGACGGCCGCTGTGAGGTCACAGGCTGGCCCAGCAATCCAATGGATAGGCTCTGGGATTAGGACATGCACATCTTCGGGGTCAGTGGGCCTGCCCACCCGCAGCTCGAACCTCCTGACCTGCTGCAATTCTGGCCACGGCACACTCTGTGTTCATGCACTCAGGGCCCACATCGCCACGTCAGAATGTCCACAGTCTGCTCTCAGAGCTGACAGGGAGCAGGTTCTCAAACCTGCCTCAGACGCGAGGCAGTGCTGGAGCACTGGGTGGGGAGAGGGGCTGGAGGGGCTCAGGCTGGCCAGGCAGCCGGCGCATCTCCTCACCTCCAGACCCCAGACGGGGCTCCACACACAGAACCCAGAGCGGGTCTTCTAAAACACCAGTCAGCCCTCACAAAAGCTTGTACAGGAATGTTCACAGTAGCACTATCCAATAGAACCAAAAAGTAGAAACAACCCAATGTGGTCCACCAACCAAATGTGGTCCATCCACACGATGGAATGTGATTCAGCGATGGAAAAGAATGAAGTATTGAAACAAGGTACAGCATGACTGAACCTTGAAAACAAGATGCTCCTTGAAAGAAGCTAGACACACGCAAACTATTACGTACTAAAATAAGTTACGAGGATATTTTGTACAACAGAGGGTATTTACACAATATTTTATAATTTTAAGAGTATAGCCTTTAAAAATTGTGAATCACTCTATTGTACACCTGTATTTATATAAGATGTTGTACATCAACTACATTTCAAGAAAAAATAAAAGCTAGACACCAAAGGCCATGTTACAAGATTCCACTTAAATGAAATATCCAGAATATGCAAATTCCCAGACAGAAAGTGGATTAGTGACTGCCAGGGGCTGGGTGGGATGAGGTGATGAGCGACTACTGTCATTTAATGAGAAACATGTATGTGGTCTTCATCCCTCGGCCCCGGCACACAGCTCCTAACACCCTTGGAATTTCCTTAGTGAGGGGGTTAGGACTGTCTTTTGTTAATTGTAATAAATTCCGCTCAACCATGAGTTTATGCTGAGAAGCAACTCTTGACGGGCCCTCAACAACTTCAGGATGGGATGCTTCAGCCCCTCTCCCCTGACACCTGCCTGTTCATTTATATCCCTTATACTATCATTTATAAAACACAGTAAATGTAAGCAGTGACTTCCTGAGTTCTGTGAGCTGTTACAGCACACTACTGAACCTAAGCGGGGGGCCGTGGGAACCCCTGATTTACAGCCAGTCAGTCCGAAGGATGGGAGGCCGACTTGTGACCCACGTCTGAAGAGAAGCCAGTCTTATAGGACTGAGTTCCTAAGCTGTGGGATCTGCACCAACTCCAGGGAAGGCGGGTCAGAATTGTACTGAATTGCTGGGACACCCATCTAGTGTCAGAAGAGGTGGAGAATCGGTTGTTAACATGGAAAAAACCCACACATTTGGCATCAAGACTGTTCTATGGGTAGAAACAAACCAGAGTACCACTAGTGGATGATTTCTGGGGAGATGCAATGTTCTGGAACTAGATAGTGGTGATGGATGTACAATCTGTGAACATGCTCAAAACCAGAGAACTGTGCATTTTACGTGGGTCAATTTTATGGCAAGCTTGGGACCGGGCAGCTAGAAGGGAGCTGGCCAGATGGATGAGAGTTACCTCAGAGCCTGGGGGAAGGAAGGCTACTGTCTGGGGCTGAAGATGTCAGACAGGTTCCACGCCCAGAGGAGACAGCGTACGTGGCAATCCCATCACAGGTGGGGGGGGCCCCACCATGTGTGGAAGGACCATAGACTCCTTGCAGATGCTGTCACAGGCTTTCAGAAGGGGAGTGGACTGCGGATAAGGCTGCTTATGTTTCCCGTGGCCAGAGCCCACTTCCTTCAGGGTACCTAGTCAGGGTACCAGCACACCAGCCCAGGGACTAATGACAATTTAACCCTACCCCAAGCCGTGGAGCAGCTGGGGTGTCCCCCTCCTCAATGACAACATTTGGAGCTGGAGAAGGTGGACAAATGGGACTAGCGCCACTCTTCCCAGCTCCCTCAGCCCTAGCATGGAGCATGGACATGGTGTCCAAAGCTGCTGCAGCTGTGCCCAGCCTGGGGAAAGGCCAGGAGAATCAGGACCACCAGCCCCCGCGGTGCGGGAATGCCGAGCCAGCACCAGCAATGGTCTTGCCGGCTCTGCTCTGTGAGAAGCCTGCGCTCCCGTGTTGACGCTCTAGGCCAGCTGTCAGGTATTCACGGCTCCCAGGAGAACAGAAGAAGCACGTAGGGAACAAGTGCACAGACTGTGGACGTGCAAGAATGAAACAGAGAAGGTGAAGGGCAGGTTCACACTCAGAAATTATTCTGTGGGTAGGGCACGCCGCACACTGCCGGGAAAGGAGGCAGCAGTGGAGTCTGGCTGCTCGAGCAGAGTCGGTGTCTCTGAGCTCAGAGAAAGCGGGGCACAGGTGAGGGGACCCTGGAGCACCCAGAGCACTGCAGGCGGGGGGCGAAGGACAGGGGCCCAAGCCCCTGTGGGGAAAGGGCTGCAGGGCAGCCCAAGGCAGCTGTCCCAGGAGGACCAGCTCTCAAGGCCAGCCTCTAGCTTGGTCGGGGAACTTGGATTTGGGGGCACTGCCTCAAACCAAACTGGGAAGAGACACTCACTGTGGCTTAGGGCGAACACCTGCTTTCTCCTGGGAGCCTGGGTCGTGGTCTGTGCCAGGTGGAGGATGCCCACATGACCAGCC